CATAAATGCTACAAAAATTTCGTTCCACAGTGTTATGAAACAAAAAGAAAAAAAATCCATGGATTCATACACTGTTTTATCCTAATTCTTTTGCTCATCCACCTCTTATTCACAGAAATAGACTTTAAGCAATGTTACATAAAATTGTTGATTTGTTTTCTCATCAATTTCTTTACTTGAAAAACAAACAATTTAAAAAAAAATAATAATAACAACAAAGAATATCAAAAGAAGACAAATTATTTTTGTTTACATTCTTTGTCAACAGTTCAACAAAGATAAAAAAAGATTATTTTTTTTTTGCATGGAAAGAAAAGAAATACAAACCTTAAGTTTTAATCGAGCTCGACCTTCTTCATCTAATACCTCATCCTCATCAACTTCATCTTCATACCACTGAGGATCATATGGTCTAGAAAAACATTAAATATACATATATTTTTTACTTAAACCAGAAATTATGAAATTTTTTTAAATACATCACATTACATATTCTAATTTTAAGAAAGAAAATTGAGTAGTAACTATTATTGTAAGAAAAATATGTTTTTGTAACAAACAGGTTAATTATGATAATGTATTAAAATTGTAAATGAAGACATAATTTCTGGTAGAGCTTACTAAAACAAATCTATTTATCAGGAATCAAAATCATCCAAATAAACATAACCACTAGCTTGTAATCAACATAGCATCAAGCATAATGAAAGAGTTTAACAAATTAATGAATGAAGAACCAACAACAACTCTGGTGTCCAGTTGCACGGATATATGCAATCCGAGCGAGGAGAACTCACATCATTTGCAGATTGCTAACATAGCAATGCCAATATAAATTATATAAATTTTTATCCTAACTATATTTTTATCAGTTACAGTGATATACAAGCTTGAATGATCAAAATGTAGAAAAAGTCAGTTTTTTCCTTTTTTAAATAAAAATAATGTGATTATTTTCCTTATTATGAATCAAATCAGTTATTTTTCTTTCGAGTTTGAAATATCTATGGAAATTTAACGTCTTATATGTGTAGAAAAATATTGAAAATATGTATTGAAAATTAAATTTTTTGTTAGAATATTTTAGACAATATTAACTACTTTAGACTAATATGTTATTGATGATTGATTTACTTGTTAAAATTAAGTCTAACATTGATACTCATTTTAGTTCAAATCAATCAAATGATTTTTTTGATCAAATGCCTGAGTCTGCAGAATTTTAAAGTGTTTATTGCATTGTTGATGTTTGGAATACTTAAAACTTTAATTTTTGCTTTCAAATTTAAAGCTTTACAAGGTATAACTGAACTATAGATTTACTCAAAAATAAGGAATTTTTTAGATGTTTTATTTCAATTACTTTTTCAAAATAATTTCAGACACAGCAACAGAAAAATTCAAATGCTTCCTAACATCTACCTAACATCTACAAAGGATTATTATTTATTCAAAAACAATATTCCATAATATGTTACAAGAAACTAAGTACCCTATCCAGTTTTAATAGAATTTTATTCTATTTTCAGACACTCTTACATTTTTTCACTTAATAGTTTGAAAATAAAATTCAAATTCAATTTTATCCTTCAATTTTCCCAAAAATTATTTCTTAAATCATGTACAATCAATTATTTTCCAAATGAAAAATTCAGAGGAAGAATTTATTCAAAGCTATTTACCTAGTATCGACACTAAGAAAATTTGGCAATTTCACAAAATGAACCTCTTTGCCTAGATTTGTTGCAATTCTGGGAATTTCCAATTCAATTTTTGTTTCTGGTACAGGTTCCTCTTGTTCTTCTTGATCCTAGTTCCAGATTAGGTATTAAACACTTCATGAATAAAATAGATTTCATAATAATAGTCCATAAAAAAATTAAAAAATAACACAAATATTTATAGTTCCTACAATTTTGTAAATAACATTTTAGCACTATTTTCTTCATATAAACTTTGGTGAAATTAGGCAATAAATTTAACACATAAGATACTTTAAAAAATAGATACATGTTTATTTTAACCATCTCATCTTATAGCTCATAAGATATAAGACAATATAACCATATATTAAAAAAATAGACAAATTTCATTTCATTAAAATTTAATTGCTGGAACTTCTAAGATTTTTAAACTTTAAGTTATGATTTCTACATTTTTTCATACACCGCTGCATATGCATACACACTGGTGCTGAAAATATTTAAACTTTGCTTTCATATTCCATTTACATTAATGTCAGATTAGAAATTAAAACTATTAATGATAAGAACCATTTTCAGCAGAGCTGGCAAATTACAGCGAAAATTTCAATCAGGCATATATTTTTTACACTTACAATTATGGTTAGGTATGTAAACATTAAATCGGATAACACGAAATATTGGTTATGTTCCCCCCAAAATTTTAACAAAAAATCGTTAAAATACTGTATGGAGTAGATATATATGATTTTCAAAGTACTCCCTAGGAATAAAAAAGAGCAGGGCACTCACTTTACACCCTAAAAACTTATCAAAATGTGTAATACTATGTAATAACTGAATTTTTATTTTATCCTCAAAAATTTTTAAATTACCCTCTTATGCTATTTTATGTGTGTATTTCAAAAAGTAATTCTCTCTTACAATCAAAATAAAAGGAAAATTTGTAGTTTATAAAATTAATAAAAGGCAATCTCTGTGCACATTCTTTTACTTCAAAAAAGAAAACTACCAAAAAGGATTAATTGATAAATAACTTGCAAGCTTTTTTTTTCTATAAAAACTGAAAATTATGAGAAAATTAGTATTTATAGGTACATTTTTTTGAAAAAAAGGTACTCGTTTGAAAAATAGTTTTACAATTTAAAATCACTTATAAAATTTATTAATACCTCCCCCAGAAAGATACTCATAAAAATTTAACCAGTTGAGAATGATCCTAACAAAGTAAATATTTGCAATAGTAATAAGAGGATTAAAACTATAAATACAGATAATTTTACTAGAGTGTAATTATTATTAAAAAAGTGAATTAATGTTTTACAAAATGGAATATGAATAGAAAAAGAAGTGTTTTTCAGGGATGGCAGCTTATTTTCACAGAGAGGCAAAGAGGGGGCATTTATTGGGTTCAAAGGGCAAGCAGGCAGGGTAGGAATTTTCTTTTTTCTTTGCTAATAACCATGTTCAGCATTTACTCTGATGAACAATTTCACTTACACACCAGAGCACATGAAATGCGCCAAAAATCGTAGCTGAGACTCAAAAGTAAAGTTAGGATGCATAATTTTCCATAGTGGAAAAAAATGAGAAGAGTAACACAGAATAGCTTGGGACTATAAAATTAACCCAAACTTTGAAAAGAAAAAAAAAATCACTTCTTTATTAACACCAGAACGATAAAATAATTGTGATTATCATATTACACAACTGCTTTTTCCTGAGGTAAGTACTTGATTAGTTTTATATAATTAAAAGCCTTGATTCTACAAATGGAACTCTTTATAGATGTCTATTAATAGATGGAATACCTATAAATATGCATGTTAATTAAATGAACAGAGAGATAGAGAAATTATTGTCTGCTCAATATCACAGATCATTTGCATTGATTTTTTTAAAAATACTGGTGACCCCTTTCCCCCATTCTTTATGTTTTAATTTTTAAAACATTGTTTAAATTGCAAAATTATTTTATTCCATTCCACAGAAAAGTTTATTATTTATGAAGACTTAGAAACTTTAAAACTTTTAATCTTCAGTAAAAAGTAAAAAAAAATTAAAACATAAAATATTTATTTTTTAAGTGTATCTTTAAAATGGGGTTTTATACCGCTTTTAATTTGAATTTGTTTTTGGTGAAAAAGCGAAATTCGAACCTCAGATTTATAATAGGTACATTCATATGCTTTCATTAATACTATACATTGGAGAAAAAAATTTCATCCATGTAAACTTTTCACTCACCCATTATTTTGTAGACTGATAATTCTATGAAGCAAAGTGTAAATTTTTAGATTTTTAACGTCCTGATTTTCAGCAAATTTCTTGTGAACGATAAATGAGGTTTTACTCACTTGTATATCATGGAGCGTAGTAGCAATATCACCATTGGGAGCTTCTTTTTCTTTGTTTTCTTCATCAGAACTAATATCAAGATCCTCGCCAAAAAGAGCTTCAGCAGTTGCTGTAAAATAATATGTATCTCAAGATCCTTTCTTTAAAGATTGAAATATTAAATTTAACAATTTTTTAAAACCCACACACAAATGTGTTATTCAGAAAAAGGAACATGAAGATACCTTTTAGTATGCTACAAACGTTAGATTTAGCAATTTTACAAAATTTTGTGAAAAGACACTAACATTACAATCTTTACAAATTAATGAGCAATTAAATTAAACATTATTTGCTTATGTCCACTTAAAGCTGAACATTGTATATGGATTAATATTTCCAATAAAGTCATATGTAACAACAAATTAAACATTANAATACAGTGAAACTTCTCCTAAAGGCCACCTCTACTTAAGGGCCACCTCTATTAAGGGCCACCTCTATTAAGGGCCAATATTTTGAGGAACGAAAATTTTCCCCATAGACATAATGTTAATTTTCCTCCCATTAGAGGGCCACATTTTCCTGACTACCTCCAATAAAGGCCATTTTCCCCTCGTCCCATGAGTCCCCCGTGCCATATTTAAGGCCCTTACCGAGAGGTTTCACTGTACTTAGTTTCATATAAGTTTTTCTAACTGTAGAAAATGTGTTATAACATAAAAAAATATAGCATTTAGTTTCTATATACATTATTCTCCCCTTTATGACTAGATCATCTGTATTTCTACAAATTTAAAACATATAACTTTAACTACAGTGTTACATAAGAAAATTAGATAAGCGTTCAATACTATGAACAATATGTCTTTATATGAAAATAATTTCAAGATCTACAAGCATAGTAAAATGTAAAAAATAAAATGCATGATTGATAAGAGAATTCAAATAACTGATTTTACATAAAGTAAATAAAAAATTGCTTACCTTTTGGTGATCCCATTTCATTATCAACATCCATTCCTTCTGAAATTTAAAATAACATCCACTTAGAAATTAATTTGCAGTGTAAATAATAAAAAAAAAAGAATAGATAGCATAGAACAGAAATTTTTAAACAATGCTTCATGAAGAAAAGTATTAGTGCTCCATAAAACATTTCCCAAGACTCAGCAAAAAGGCAGGATAAGATTTAAAAAAAATTAAAGTTTAAAATTTAAAAAAAACATTTTTATGAAAAATATTTGAATATTCTGATCTTTTGCACTCTTGGAGTAATAGTGTTAATTGTTTATCACCGTTAATTAGAAACCATGACTAGAAAATATAGATACAAACAGAAATTTTGTTTTTTTTCTGATTAAAATTTACATGATTATAGATTTATGTACTACTATTTAGATTAGGGGTGCACAACCTGCGGCCCGCGGGCCAAATGCGGCCCTTCGACTACTGAAGTGCGGCCCGCGAGAGCTTCTAAACACAATAAAAATTTGTTAAAAAATGGAAATTTTTAGTCGCACTTTTAAGTCATCATGTTTTGACACAATCAATTTTAACAGATTCTTTAGTAAATGTACGTTTAACGCGCTTTCTTTAACCCGATTTTATCGTAAATATAAATGATTTTTTTTAAAACAGTTATTTCCGCTTTTCCACGTGATTTCGAAAATCCCGAATTTTTATTATGACGCGAGTTTCAGTTCGCCCATTTAAATAATCACTTTATTTGTGACGATTTCATCTTAAATATAAGTGATTTTTTTTATCTTTTTTTTTAAAATTCTTTCTTTTTTAACAATTTTTTCGGCAGTTATTGCTATGCATTCCACGTATCATAGAAAATTCCAATTATTCTATTATGACATGCAAATTTTAAATCGTGCATTTGACACGCTTTATTCATGCTGAGTTCAGCATAAATATAAGTAATTTTTCCCCCCAGTTATTTCTATACTTTTCCACATGATTCTGACGATCCCGTTATTTAACTATGATGCTATTACGACACGTGACTCTTAATCGCGCA